GGCCAGCCACGCGGGGGCACCGTGGTGGCGACTTGCGCCATGATGTGGGAATGATGGTAAAAAGGGGGGAGGGCGGCCGAAACAAGGGCTATGTCGGGCGTGTGTGTCGCCCTACAGGGGGATTTTCTGCCAAACATAAAAATTATCTCGGCAAAGCAACCTAACAGCGATGTGTAGAAGCATATCTGAAAGCATTCCCCTTAAGATTCAGATGAAAATCCAGTTGTAGAATTCTGCTGTTCTCGCAGTCGTAGTCGCATTCGCGATGACAGTCGCAGCGGCAACGGCAGTCGCAGTCACAGCCTCAGCCACCCTGCCTCAGCCTCAGCCTGCCTCAGCCTCAGCCTGCCTCAGCCTCAGCCTCAGCCTGCTTCAGCCTCAGCCTCAGTCTGCCTTCAGCCTCGGCCTCAGCCTCAGCCTGCCTCAGCCTCAGCCTGCATCAGCCTCAGCCTCAGCCTCAGCCTGCCTCAGCATCAGCCTGCTTCAGCCTCAGCCTCAGCCTGCCTCAGCCTCAGCCTCAGTTTGCTTCAGCCTCAGCCTCAGTCTGCCTTCAGCCTCGGCCTCAGCCTCAGCCTGCCTCAGCCTCAGCCTGCCTCGGCCGCAGCATCAGCCTGCCTCAGCATTCAAAATGTGGCCCAGGAATGGAGTTCTGGGAACTAGAAGAACACGAAGTGGCCTACAGTTGGCTCCGGGCATTCAAAATCATGCCCAGGAATGGAGTTCTGGGAACTTGAAGAGCACGAAGTGGCCTACAGTTGGCTCCGGGCATCCAAAATGTGGCCCGGGAATGGAGTTCTGGGAATCGAAGAGCACGAAGTGGCCTACAGTTGGCTCCGGGCATCCAAAATGTGGCCCGGGAATGGAGTTCTGGGAAGTCGAAGAGCACGAAGTGGCCTACAGTTGGCTCCGGGCATTCAAAATGTGGCCCGGGAATGGAGTTCTGGGAAGTCGAAGAGCACGAAGTGGCCTACAGTTGGCTCCGGGCATTCAGAATGTGGCCCGGGAATGGAGTTCTGGGAGGTCGAAGAGCACGAAGTGTGCGACTGTTGGCTTAAAACGACTTCTGCGGCACCCTGTCCGGCACCCGCCCAGACCCCCCTGTGGAGTCATCTGCTGCTCTCTTTTGACACCACTAGAAACCTATCAGAACAAGCTGTTAGGTAAATACCCTAAAAATACCCCAAACAGGTCAAAAGATACTCAAATTATCCCGGCAAAGCAACCTAACAGCGATGTGTAGAAGCATATCTGAAAGCATTCCCCTTAAGATTCAGATGAAATCCAGTTGTAGAATTCTGCTGTTCTCGCAGTCGTAGTCGCATTCGCGATGACAGTCGCAGCGGCAACGGCAGTCGCAGTCACAGCCTCAGCCTGCCTCAGCCTCAGCCTCAGCCTGCCTCAGCCTCAGCCTGCCTCAGCCTCAGCCTCAGCCTGCTTCAGCCTCAGCCTCAGTCTGCCTTCAGCCTCGGCCTCAGCCTCAGCCTGCCTCAGCCTCAGCCTGCCTCAGCCTCAGCCTCATCCTCAGCCTGCCTCAGCATCAGCCTGCCTCAGCCTCAGCCTCAGCCTGCCTCAGCCTCGGCCTCAGTCTGCTTCAGCCTCAGCCTCAGTCTGCCTTCAGCCTCGGCCTCAGCCTCAGCCTGCCTCAGCCCCAGCCTGCCTCGACCGCAGCATCAGCCTGCCTCAGCATTCAAAATGTGGCCCAGGAAAGGGAGTTCTGGGAAGTCGAAGAGCACGAAGTTGCCTACAGTTGGCTACGGGCATTCAAAATGTGGCCCGGGAATGGAGTTCTGGGAACTCGAAGAGCACGAAGTGGCCTAGAGTTGGCTCCGGGCATTCAAAATGTGGCCCGGGAATGGAGTTCTGGGAACTCGAAGAGCACGAAGTGGCCTACAGTTGGCTCCGGGCATTCAAAATGTGGCCCGGGAATGGAGTTCTGGGGACTCGAAGACCACGAAGTGGCCTACAGTTGGCTCCGGGCATTCAAAATGTGGCCCGGGAATGGAGTTCTGGGAAGTCGAAGAGCACGAAGTGGCCTACAGTTGGCTCCGGGCATTCAGAATGTGGCCCGGGAATGGAGTTCTGGGAGGTCGAAGAGCACGAAGTGTGCGACTGTTGGCTTAAAACGACTTCTGCGGCACCCTGTCCGGCACCCGCCCAGACCCCCCTGTGGAGTCATCTGCTGCTCTCTTTTAAGACTACTAGAAACCTATCAGTCTTCGCTGCTAGGTAAAAATAGTCCCCTGACTATTTTTGGACATTTTTTGGTTATTCTTGGGGCATTTTTTATTAGTCGTCGAAAATCCCCCTGCAGGGGGACAGGCCCGACGTAAAGGGGGGGAGGGCGGCCGACAAAAGAAGCGCCTCGCACTCGTCCTCGCAGACTCCAGCATCTGAGTCCACTTCGAGCCGGCGCGCTGCAGGCCCGTCCTGGACTGGGCCGCGGCCGCGGCCACCTCCGCGGCACGGGCGGCCGCGCTGCGCCTTCCACCTCCTCCTCCTCCTCCTCCTCCTCCTCCTCCTCCTCCTCCTCCTCCTCCTCCTCCCCCCCTCCTCCTCCCTCCTCCTCCTCCTCCTCTCTCCTCCTCCTCCTCCTCCTCCGCCTCCTCCTCCTCCTCCTCCTCCTCCTCCTCCTCCTCTTCCTCCTCCTCCTCCTCCTCCTCCTCCCCCTCACAGTGGGGGCTCGGCCACAAGAAACCTTCCACAGGGAGCCCAACCCTGAGACCCCAAGACGTCCACTGATTTTTGGTGTGGGGAGGGCACCCTGGGGGCAAGCAGGGTGGTTCTTGGCATGGGTTTCCACTGTGCCCCTCCACCTCCCTCTCCTCCATTTCTTTTCCTTGTTAATCACTCCTCTTTATCGCACCCCAAGGCCACTCGGAAGGAAGGGCGGGCCGGGCGTTTCGCCGGACCATGACCACGCTGGAAGCTAATGGGTGGGTCGCTTCCAAACTGCGCGGTGCTGAAGCGAGAGTCTCGCCTCAGCACCGCGCACATTCGTTTCAAACAATTGTAAGAGCTCTCCAGATTGCGGAGAGGTCGTTTTCAAAATGTGGCGTTCACTTGAGTGCCATGCACATCCGTTCTTAAACGGCTTCACGGATTGAGAACAGGTGATTTTCAAAGTGTGACCCTCGACTCATCGCCGCCGCGCACATTCTTCTAAAACTTTGCAAGGAGTTTCACCTATTGAGGACGGTTCCGTTTCAAAGTGTGGCTCTCGCTTTAGCGCCGCGCTCATTCGTTTTAGAAATATGACAAATGTTTACGGATTGCGGACAGGTGAATTTCGAAGTGTGGCTCTCGCCATAACATTACGCACATTCGTTCTAAACATTTGCGAGAGCTTCCCGGATTATCATGGATAACGTACCTGAAGTGGTGTTCTGTAACCATTCAGGATTGTCATGGCGCAACAGTTGCGTTGATTCGCGGCGTCGAAGTCCCAGGAGTGACGTTCTGGAAGGATTCCAGATCGCCAAGGCGCAGCAGCCACGTTGACTCGTGAGCCGAAGTTCTCAGAATGGTCTTAGGGTGTATTCCAATATCGCTGATGAGTCCTGGGCTTGCACTGGTCCTCCTCCTCGAGCGCGTTTCTGTATTTTCGGCGATAATTGGCATTAAGGGGGGGGCGGGCGTGGGGGGGGGGGATAATGTCACGCCTCCCCCCCGCCGTATGCCGCATGCGCACGGCGGCGGTGCCAAGAGCGCACTGGGGGGGGGGAGTGCGTTAAGTTATAGGGGGGAGGGGGGGAGGGGGCTATAATGCCCATTATGCCCCAAGCAATAAAGAATCGCGCTCATCCTCATCCTCCTCATCATATTCATAAGCAACATCATCAACATCATCCCATCCTTGCCACTCTCCCTCCCCCCCCCTTTGCCCTGCCGCCTCCGCGATCCCTCCCCTCCCTTTTCCATTTCGCCTCTCCACCTCCTGCCCCTCTCCCTCGTCCTCCTCCGTTCCAACGTCGTCTGTGACGCTGCGTGATCGCTGCTTCCATCATTCGCTTGACCGATCCCCATCCCCAGCGGCGTGACCTGGGCCCCACTGGCCGATGCACCCCCCCAGATGGGGATACGGGTTCGTTCCCCTCGGACTCCGAGGGGTGCATCCCCAACTGGGGGGGGGGGGTAAATCTGGTGGGGGCCTCGAGGGGGATGGGGATGGGGATGGAGCTCGGTGAAACGATACTCCAGATTTCGTAATAAAAGGGATGGGGTCTGGACCCTCCAAGACAAGCCATTTCAGACCTCCCCCGTGGGAGAACCCTCCAAAACATTGTCCCCAGACCCCCCCAGGCCCTCCAAGACAGCCTGGAAGAGACCCCCCCGAAATGAGACCCCCCTCCCTTTATTGCGAAATCTGGAGTGCCGAGCCTCCCCGACCTCGTCGTCCCCAGCCTCTCCGACCGCCGCCTCGCCGTGCCGCCGGCAGGGAGGCCGGCAAGTGCACGCGACGGGGACGCTCGGGCCACGGCGAGCCTCGGCCGACGCCTGTTGCCCCATCCCACTCGAGGGCCACATCCCAGAGATCACTTCCAGCACCCAGAAGGAGAAGTCCTCCTCCCCAGGGGAGGGGTTCCAGGGAGGAGCCCTCTTCGTCCTCCTTGACCTCCTCCTCCACCTCCTCCCTTTCTCCGGCTCCTCCGCCTCCGCCTCCTCCAACTCCTTCTCCTCCCCCTCCCCCTCCTGGTCGTCGTCGATGTCTTTCAGGGTCGGCGGCACCCGCCGTCAGGCACTCACAATAGCTTCGAGCACCCAGAAGAGTATCGAAAACATATCGGACGAATATCGCCTCCCAGGGCACGACCCGTGAGAAGCCTCCAGCTTCGGTACTTTCTTGGTGCTCGAAATGCTTTCTGGTGGTCAAGACTAAAGTAGGCTGGAACATCATAAGCCTCGGCTTCGAATTGGCTCACCTGCCTAGATATGAGGAACGGCCCGAAAACCAGGAAGCCCCCAGCGCAGCCGCCGAGAGGACAGGCAGAGGAGGGGCAGCGACGAGAGCGCCAGGCATGGACGGCCAGGCTTCGGGGGAGCGGAAGAGTGGAGACAAAGGGGAAACTTTGGCCCAAAAATCCTCAATCCCGTCGCTACACAACGAACTCGAAACGCAAACGGCCCACACACCGTGTATGTCGACCCCTGGAGGCGAGGGAAACGAGGATTTCGGCCGATCGTCGCATCGGTGGCCCTCGTGGCCGCGGTCGTCAGAATCCCAGGCGTGGTCGTGGTCACGAACGCGTGGTAGGGCCAGCGGCGTTAGGCAGCGGCCGTCGCCGCGGCATGATTGGCAGGGCTGGGGATCCCAGAGAAGCTCGTGTCGCGAAAAAAATCCAGGCAGGTTCTTTGTAATGTTCGGCCTCCCCTGGGACCATCGAAACATCTCAGAACATATAGAAACCAAAAACCAGCCCTGGGGAGAAAAGCTCGTAACTTCCGAGGACGCCGTGAAAGAACATCCAAACATCCGATGTCTGAGAGAACGCCTTTCGTGGACATATGCCTGAGCCCAAAAAACCTTGCAACGCCGCTGGAGAACCCACCCCACTTGGACACCAGCTTCGGTAAGCGCCCCACCCCGCCTCCAGTGGGGGGCTCGAACCAACCCCCCCCCCGGCCAACGGGGGCAGGGTTCGAACCGCCTCCCCCCCCCCTCGAATTGCAGGACAGGAGTGTTCGAATCATGCAGCCCCCCACTGAGTTGCAAAAGGGGTGGGTTCGAACCGCCCCCACCCCCTCCCCTGTGCAAACGGGGGAGGTCGTATCGGGGGGGGGGATCCCCCTCCCCCTGATAGAATGGTGTTTAGGCTCTACTATGAATAGAATCCTGCACTAGCCAGATCCAGCTCTGATTGAATGCTGCTAAGGCCCGATGCAGCTGTAAAAAGACGCAATTCAGCAGGATCTCACGTTACTAGTATCCTAGTCGAGCTCGACTCTATTTCAATAGAATCACACTATGAATCAATACAGGCCGAATGTATCGCATCAAGGCTGGGTCCAGCTCTGATGGGAACCTACGGAGGCTGGAGCCGACTTTAACAGCATCCTGGCTGGGCTCGGCACACCACTACCAGCATCGCACAATAGCTGGATCCAGCTCTACTTCAATCTTACGATAGTTCGGCCCAAGTTAATTAAGAATACTTCGGCGGTGGACAAACCTCCCTTCAGTAAACCTCTGTGTAGCGAAGCGGCCTGGGACCGAAACCGACGCACCCGGACCCGCAAGAATGACGGCCGCGACGCCCTCTCGCGCGCACCGAAAACGACCAACTCGCGAATCGACGTGTCAGGGCAGGAGGTCTACCAACCTCCGAATACTATATCGGGAGCGGCCATTGGCCATCGCTCGGACGTCCATTCCTTGTGTTGTTTTCGGTTTCGTGCGTGTTTTTTCGCCAAATGATCAAGGATGCTCCTCGATGGTCCTCGCCGAGGGAAACATGCACACGTCCGAGCGATGCCAAGAGAGGGGGGTGTCCAAGAGGGGGGGGTGCAACTCATGGCCGGCGGCGCGCGGCCCCGGGGGGGGGGGCCAGGGACGTGATGAAATAAGAAGAGGCGCCATGAAACCTGGGAAAATAGCATGGCCCCCGCCATGATATCCACCCCCCCTAGCCAGCACCCCCCTCTTTGCCGCCCCAGAAATAGCAAGTGATCGACAGGGCAGGAGGTCTACCATTGAGTCGGGCCTGTCCCCCGACAGGGTCATTTTTGACGAACAAAAACAATAACACCCCAAAAATGCAAAAAAATGTTTAAAAAAGTCGTCCCCTGACTATGTTTTGACTATGCTTGAAGATTCCCCCTGTAGAGGGACAGGCCCGACTTAATACTATAGCAAGTGATCGACAGGGTCGGGCGGGTCGGGTCGGAGGGGCGGGTCGTTGTATGCATGGTGGTCGCTTGCTCGCCCGCTGGTTCGCTCGATCCGCCTGTCCGCCCGAAGGTCCCCCCAAGCCTGCCGGTGCGGACCGGCTCGCTCGCTGCAGGTCGGCGGTGCCGTCTTGCTCGTTCCCTTCCCCTCCTCCTCCTCCTCCTCCTCCTCCTCCTCCTCCTCCTCCTCCTCCTGCTCCTCCATCCTCACCGCTCCTCCTCCCCCCTCCTCCTCCTCCCCCTCCTCCTCCTCCTGCTCCTCCTCCTCCCCCTCCTCCTCCTCCTCCTCCTCCTCCTCCCCTCCCCTCCTCCCCTCCTCCTCCTCCTCCTCCTCCTCCTCCTGCTCCTCCTCCTGCCCCTCCTCCTCCACCTCCTCCTCCTCCTCCTCGACGTTCGCCCGGAACCAAGCGCCTCTAGAGGGTCCCAAGATGATGCGTTATGATTCAAAGATGACACCTACAGTGGAGGCCAGTCCACAAGAAACCGTCCACAAGAAACCCAACCCTGAGACCCCAGGATGTCCATGGATTTTTGGTGTGGGAACGCCACGCTTGCCATAGCAAAACCATCGTAGCCCAAGAATCCCAGGACACTCTGGAGGCAAGCAGGATATTTCTTAACATGGGTTTCCACTGTATGACTCAAGCATGACACCTATGGCCCCAAGAATGCCCAACGCAAACCCAGCGCGAAAACAATACACTGCGGCTACTTCCGTCTATGTTTCCAGGCACGGAAGAGCCGTACCGGCTCGCAGACGCGCTACTGTCGAGGCCAAGTGGCCCAAGGACGAACAAGCCCCAGGTGCCAGATGAAAATGTTCTGGGTGCCACTTAGGACGGGTTAGGTTTTGGGGGGGCCCCCTCCTGTTCGACCCCCCCCCCCCTTCCGAGCATCCACGGAAGGCGCTCTTTCGAATGTCTGGAAAAGCAGGGGTAGGGTCGTTGCGATATCCGTAGTGGTAGCGAAGGCGCCGGTGGTCGTGGTCGTGACGCATAGCCGTGTTGGCGGTGCCAAGATCGGAAGGCGGTGGCTGGGGTGGTGGCAGTAGTGCCGTATGTACCTCCATACCCATCGGTCGGAAGAAGTAAGTAGGTAGAAACATGAAGTAGGAAAGCGTTGTTGAAAAAAAGATCGGGTGTCCGCACGCCCCCTTGGGAGCACGGAAAAGGTGAAGCCACTCGATCATTGAAGTAGGAAGGCGCTTAAAGATTGGAATCTGGGAATCCACATGTACCTACTTTCAACGACCGATGGGTACGTCCTCCCCTCCACTTCTCTGCCTCCCTGGCCATCCCTGCTGCCTTCCCAGCACTCCCTCCCACTTGGCCCCTCATCCCCTTGCTCCCCAGGCCCGTCCCCAGTGCCTCTGTCGAGGAGCCGATGGCCTCGCCGCCAGGGTTGAAATAGCCGTCGGAGCCGCCCGGGGCTGCGCAAGAGTGCACTCTTTTGGTGGGCGACCGCAGAGTGCCCAGTGGCCAAGGAAAAGGAGGGGGAGGGGGGCGAAGGAGGAACGCAGGCGGGGCGGGGCGAAGGGAGCCGAGATAGATGCGAAGGGATGGTGAACTGGGTGGAACGCAGAACCCACGGTTGGGGTCCTGTCACAATTCTGCCCTGAGGTTATGCTGCCCCCATCGTACTTAAGGACCACATCCCTGAATGACTTCGATAACCCGGAAAAGTGCCGAAGGAGTGTCGAAACAGTGCCGAAACAGTGTCGGACGAATGTCTGACACGGCCCGACACGCGAAAACCCTCGAGTTTGGGTACTTTTCTGGTGCTCGGGATTCTTTCTGGGGGTCAAGGCTAAAGTAGGTTGGAACATCATAGCCCTGAGGGTCTGTGGGAAGGGGGGCGACTGAGGGGGGCAGCATCGGGGTAAGCTGGGGGTCAAGGTGAATCTCGTGTCGGTCATGTTTCAGTCCTGGTTTCCGACATTGTTTCGACATCATGTCTGGCTTTGCTTCGGTCTCGGTGTCGGTATTGTCCCAAATGTGTTTTAATATTGTGTCGGGTTTTCGACCGACGCGAATACCAACATGAAGACTGAAACAAAAACCGACACACACTGAAACCATACTGAAACAAAGACCGACAACATACTGCGAGAAAACTGAAAAATGCAACGGAGGGGGAACGCAACTCGCCGCACTTCCCGTCAAAACACGCTCATCACCGGAAATGTGGCGAGTTGTGTTCCACCCCCTGTCGCAATTGTTTCAATCGTGTTTCAATACTGTGTTGGTAATGAATTGTTTGGCGTGGTGTCGGAAATGTTGGCTGGGAAACGACACGAGGCTAAAACAACACCGAAACACGACTGAAACAATAATGAAACAAAACCCTCCGAAATAATCAAAAACGGCACAACCATGAAACAACCATGAAACAAAGACCGACACACGATTGAAACAATACGGAAACACGACTGAAACAAGACCCGAACAAAGGCCGACAGGAGACCGGCACGAGACCAGCACAGCGCTTGAAATCGCCGTTCTGAACTCGCGTCAAATGAACCAGCCAGATGGTGAGTGGAGTAGAACACGGGATGGGGCTGAAATGGAGTGAAGAGGGATGGGGAGGAGGGGGGAAGCGGAGGCGGATGGGAGATGAGCAGGGGAAGGGGAAGGCGAGGGGAGAAGGGTGGATGGACAGTGGATGAAGTGAGACGGGAGCGGGAAAAAAGGGGGGATGGGAAGGAAAAGGGAGGGGGCAGAGAAGGGGAATGGGATGGGGCCAGGAGGAGGCAAGGAGGGGACCTTGGATTCCAACGTGGGTCTGTTACTCTAGAAAAGGGTCGCGAAACAAGCGTTGAAACACAGATTCTGCCCATCTGTGCATATGCGGCCTGGCAAAGCGGGGCGGCATCAACGCGACACCGAGGAGCGTCGTGGGCTCGAGCCTTTGGCCTGGAGAGCGGCGCGGGGGCGAGAGCCCGAGGACCGAACCGCAGCCCTGCCGCACCGCCCGGCGAAGGCGCCCTCGGCTCGCCGGGCCTGCGCCGAGCCCCCCTGAAATGCTGGACAGCGAGGCCGCCCGCCCTGGCCCCCTGAGACTGGAGGCGGGCGGCGCGCCCAGGGGGGGATGTGAGAGGAGGAGGAGGAGGAGGAGGAGGAGGAGGAGGAGGAGGAGGAGGAGGAGGAGGAGGAGGAGGAGGAGGAGGAGGAGGAGGACGACGAGGGGGAGGTTGAGGAGGGGGAGGAGGGGGAGGCGCAGGAGGAGGAGGGGGAGGAGGAGGGGGAGGAGGGGGAGGCGCAGGACGAGGAGGAGGAGGAGGAGGAGGAGGAGGAGGAGGAGGAGGAGGAGGAGGAGGAGGAAGGCTCAGAAGTCCCCCAGGCCATTCGAGGAGTGTCCAGCAAGAACTTCTCAGAGGCGCGAGGGCCTCTGAGAAAAAGGTCCCGCCGCCTTCCGAGAAGGCCTTCTCCTTCTCACTTCCACCCCTCGCTCGCCGCCGATGGAGGGGCAAGGACTCTCGGGGATCCCAGCACCGTGTGGTAACAGACGGTGCGGTGACCTCGGAACCCCAAGAGACCTCACGGCACGGTCCGCCAGCCTGGAGGCCCCAGTCGCCCGAGACACCCTCGGAGAACGACCCGAGTCCCAAAACCGTGCGGCGACCCCGAATCCCCACCGACTCACCGCACGGTGCGGTCACCACCCCGCCTGGGGGTCCCCGAGACTGGTCACCACCCCGTCGGGGGGTCCCCGCCCTGGGACTGGAGGTGGGCGGCGCGCCCAGAGAGGAAGTGAGAAGGGGAGGAGGGGGAGGCGCAGGAGGAGGAGGAGGAGGAGGAGGAGGAGGAGGATGAGGAGGAGGGGGAGGGGAGGCGCATGAGAGGAGGAGGAGTGGGAAAAAAAAAAAAAAAAAAAAAAAAAAAGATAAATAAGCAAGAAAGTAAAAAAAGAAAAAAGAGAGACGTCGACCCTGAATTCGGCGGCACGCGTCGCGAGGGGAGGGAGAGGAGACGAGGAGGAGGATGAGTGAGAGGAGGAGAGAGGAGGAGAAGGGGAGGAAGAAAGGGGGAGACTTCGACCCGGAATCGGCGGCACTCGTCGGAGGAAGGAGAGGAGGAAGGAGGGGAGGAGGAGTGAGTAGGAGAGGAGAATTGAGGGTAGGAGGGGGGGAGAGGAGGAGACCTCGACCCGGAATCGTCGGCCACGCGTCGCGGAGGAGAGGAGGAGGAGGGAGTAGGTTGAGGATGAAGGTAGGAGGAGGAGGAGAGGAGGCAGGAGCGGAGGAGAGGATGAGGAGGGGAGGAGGATGCGAGGCGGAGGAACTCGACCCGGGAATCGGCGGCACGGCGTCGCCGAGGGAGGCTCGGCGCGGGGGGCCCACCCCCGGGGGCAGCCGGAGGCCGCGCAGGCGCTCCTCATGCGGGGGGCGGGGCGAGCTGTGCGGGGCCCTCCTCGGCACCGCGCAGGCCGCGAGGGCTCGGTGCGTCCTCCCCTCCCCCCCCCCCCCCCCCCCCTGATGGAGGAGCGGACAAGAGGGGGGCGTCGTCCCGAGGTCCTCCTCCTCCTCCTCCTCCTCCTCCTCCCCCTCGCTCCTCCCCCTCCTCCTCCCCCTCCTCCTCCTCCGCCTCCTACACTTCAACCTCTCCTCCTGCTCCTCCATCCTCCCTCCGCCTCTCTCTCCTCTCCTCCTCCTCCTCCTGCCTCCTCCTCCCCCCCCCCCCCCCACCCCCCTCCCTCCTCGCTACTCCCTCCTCCTCCTCCGCTCCTCCTCCCTCCACCTCCTCGCTCCTCCTCCTCCTCCTCCGCCTCCTCCTCCTCCTCCTCTCCTTCCTCTCCTCCCCCTTCCTCCTCCTTCCTCCTCCTCCTCCTCCTCCTCCTCCTGATCATACCGGCGGCAGGTGCGCGTCCTCATCGGGGGGGCCAGGGACTCATGAGACAAGACGAGCGCCCTGAGATCTGGGACTTCCATGGCCCCCGCCATGACATCCACCCCCCCCCGTTGTCATCACCCCCCCTCTTTGCCGCCCCCCCCCTTGATGGAGGGCAGAACGTCCACCCCCAGAATCATCACCGCGGCACGCGAAGCCGTTCCGTAAACGCACCCAAAGGAGGAAGCAAGCAGGGCAGGGCGGTGCAGTATAAAACGCCCAGGGCCGTGCAATAAACGCCAGCTGTCGTGTCCGGGTGGTTTTTTGTTCTCCCCCCCACTTGAGCCGACCAGACCCCTCCCCTGACTCGGGGGCGCGCAAGCATGGATTAGCGTCAGGTCGGGCGTCCTCCTGCAGGCGGATTTCGGACGAAAAAACAGGTGCGAAAAAGAGCCAACAGATGCCGAAACTATTCAACAAAATCTGTCCCAGACTATCTTGAGGACTACATCTCTGCATGCTCCTCCCGCAGAGGGCCACGCAGACCGAAGCTTGGCGATATCCGTGGATGTGGCGCGCGGCCGCCGAATCCGTGGGTCGGGGGAGGCGCCCCAGACTGTGGCCGGTGTCGCCGCGTTCGGCGGCGGACATCTCCACGAGCTCCCATGAAAACGGGACCTCGGCGCTGGACAAACCTCCCTTTAGTAGACCTTCCCTTCGTGAAATCGGCCTGGAACCGAAACCGACGGACCTGGACCCGCAGAAATGACGGCCGCGACGCCCTCTCGCGAACCGAAAACGGCCAATTCCTGAATCGACGTGTCAGGGTAGGAGGTCTGTCCACCCCCGAGGACCCGCCTCTGATCCACGCCCCCCGAATCCACGTCTGCCCGAGGCGCCCCGCGGGCCGCGGCACGCCGGGGCCACTCCCCCCCTCCGCAGGATGCGGCATGCCCGGCGGCGGTGGCGGCGCCCTCCTGGAAGGGTCCAGGGACGCAGGAATATAAATCCGCAGGATTTCCCGTGTTGCCCGCATCTGGGGGATATTCGTCTCCCCCCCCCACTTCCCATACTCGTCTAAATCTCCTCGGGGGAGTCGACGATCGACGGCGTCTGCCGGCGCTGGTTCCCCTCCCGACGCCTCCCCTCCCCAGGCAAGCCACACGGGCGGGGCTCCGGCACCACAGGCAGAAGGCAAAAGTGGGGCGTGGGCCGGGCCTGCACTCGTGTCGACGGCGTCGGCTATGCACTCCAGGAAGGCGCCGAGGCCCGCCGAACCCCACCCCTCGTAGGGGAGGGGTTCAAGGTGCTCTGCACGGCGTGGGACACGCACAGGCGCTACACTCTCTCTCCCAGCCTCTCCACCTCCCACCACTCCATGACCAGCCGCATCACTGGCAAAAGCAGGCAGAGCGGGCCAAGAGTTCCGTCAGAGACCCGCACGCCACTTGCAAAACTCGAACCTGTGACCTAAACGGATGGAAGCTGTGCTAACCATCCCGAGGCCTGCAACTTGCACCAGCAATGTGCGTGGAGGACGGGCAGCTTTAACCTTCACGACCTCGGCAACAAAAGACAAATTACCAAGTATTCAAAAAGCAGCGCTGGCATCTGCTCACATGGAAAGCGGGTCGCCTTCGAAATTGCATCCGCACCAATCACAGATTACGAGCTCGAACACTATTCACATCCGGTCGTTCACGTATCCAGAGCTGCATGTACCTGTTCAAGGTAGGGGGCACATTCCGTTCGATAGGCCCCCACACAGTACTTCGCAGACGAAGGATCCCAACAGCTATCTGGGCTGCAGGTGGCCTGGACGTGTAGCCTGAGTTCCAATCTGCCAGCCTGGAATCATTGGGGCAGAGGGGGAGGGATTCGCCCCCCCCACTGCGTACCCCCTCCCAATGGTCCGCACACCCGCGTATACCTGGGACCCCCCTCTTCTGTTGCGCGAAGCGCAGCAGGGACAGGATGCCCAGAGCAGACCCAAGAAACCCGCGAGGACACTCGACTGATTATGTCTATGCAGCTCTGCATATGATTCGAGGAAAGAGCTCGTGCTGAGCTCGGCGGGTCCGCTGGCGCATGGAGGATGGAGAGGGAAGGATGAGTGGGGGTCTCAAGACCTTCTGGCAACAGACCGAGCGATGACCTCGCCGTCCCAATGACCCGGTCGGACGAACGAGGGGGATAGCAAAGAGGGGCTGACCGAATCAGCGCACACAGCTTGGGGATCGCAGAGGAGACTTCCCAACGCTTCCTGCCGCCAGGAGGCGCCAGTGTATCGGGGAAAGCGCTCCGGAGGGGGCCGAGACCAGCTGCGTTCGGCAGATGTCGTAACCCCCACTTCCCCTACTCTGGGTGGGATGTTAATCGAGGGGTGGGCGACTAACCTTCCGACGGAGCTTGCCCATCCCCCCCTCCTCCACCTCCTCCTCCTCCTCCTCCTACTCCTCTTCCTCTTCCTCCTCCTCCTCCTCCTGCTCCTCCCCCTCCTCCTCCCCCTCCCCCTCCCCCTCCCCCTTCCCCTCCCACTCCTCCTCCTCCTCCTCCTCCTCCTCCTCCTCCTCCTCCTCCTCCAACCCCCTCCACCCCTTCCGACAGCACGTGCCCAACCCCCCAAGCAGATCCAAGGGTGGGGGCGATAATTTCCCCATCCAGAGTAACTACCCTCTCGAGAACCTCTCCGCACGGTCTGCCACCGCGCGGTTTGCGGACCCCTGAGGCTCCGAACGCTCCAGACATCCCTCGAGCCCCAACAAGGCCCCCTCGACCCGACCCGCCTCTGACCCACCAGATCACCGCACTCCGTCCTGGGGCCCCCGAGACGAGGCGAAAGAGAGGGGGGAGGAGGGAGGAGGGAGGAGGACGAGGGAGGAGGAGGAGGAGGAGGCGGTAGGAGGACGAGGGGGGAGGACGAGGGAGGAGGACGAGGGAGGAGGACGGAGGAGGAGGAAGCGGTAGGAGGACGAGGGAGGAGGACGAGGGAGGAGGACGAAGGAAGAAAACGAGGTGCGCGTGCGCACGCACGACGTGGCGCCCCCAAGGGGAGTGTCAGAGCGACGTCGAGGCCAGGGGGGGAGCGGGTCAGGCAGCGGCCCCCGCGTCTCCGGCAGGGCGGACCCGTTGCCCTCGACCTCGCCGCCAACCGGCGCGGCCCAGGGGCGGCCCAGCCTCCTCCTTCTCCTCCTCTTCTTCCTCCTCCTCCTCCTCCTCCTCCTCCTCCTCCTCCCTGTTCCTCCTCCTCCTCCTCCTCCCCGTAGCCATTTTGGCTCAAGCCATTTTGGCTCAAGACAGCCGTCCCAGGCCCAGGTGGGTCTTGCTACTCCGAACTTTGGGACGGCGTTGGGGTAGCGAGCCAGTGGCTCGGTCCCTCGATTCGGCACCGACACGCCTCTGCCATGGCCTTCGCCGGTGGCGGCAAGGGCGGCGCTGGATCCTGGGGCGCGGCGGCGCTCGGAGACGGCGGCCAGGCCCCAGCCCTCTGGAGAGGCAAGGGCCGCGCCGTCGGCCGTGGCGCCAGCGGTGGAGGGAAGGGCAAGGGCGCGGCTGACGCAGCCCCTCGGGCGCCCAGCCAGGCCGCAGCGCCGTGGCAGGTGCGCCGCCCTCCCTCCCGCCGTGCCGAGCGCGAGATTAAGTGGCGATGCGCGTGGTGCAGCTGCGCGCGCAACCTCGACTCCATGGTCTACTGCAAGCACTGCGGAGAGTGGCGCACCGAGGCGCCCAGCCAGGGCGCGGACGCTGCATTGGAAGGATCAGTGCGGCGGCGCCCGTCGGCCCCTCCGCGTGCTCCTCCTCCTGATGGTGGCGATGCAGGCCCTGCTGTCGATCCCAGCCTCACGGTCTCCGAGCTCGAGGACCTCGTGCGCCTGGCCGAGAAGGCAGGGGACCAGCGCGTGGCAGGGCGCTACAAGCAGCAGCTGCAGGTGCAGAAGGCTGGCGACCCCCCGCCACAGCAGCGCATCAGCGCCATCGGCGCAAAGGTCGCAGAGATCGAATCAGTATTGGAGAAGGAAGTCCAGAAGCTCGAGCAGTACCAGCAGTGGGTGGCCCAGCAGCTGGACACGGTCGCTGAGCTCACGGAGCGTTTATCTCAGGCCGACGCCGAGTACAGGGCTGCTGTCGCCACTCTGGTCGGCGACCGACCTGATCGTGCTGCCTCACCCGCTCCACCTCGCATCTCCATCAAGGAGGTGGTCGACGGCACTGGCAGCATCATTGACCTCATTGACGTCGACTCAGTGTTCGACGTGGACGGCTACGAGTGCTCGGACGACGACCGCAAGAACATCGCTGACCGTCGTGATCTGCTGCGCTCCCAGTTGCAGGACGTCGCCAAGGGCCTCTTCTCTGGCGCGCTCGAGAAGCTGGAGGCCATCAAGGCCGAGCAGGCTGCCCACGTCGCCCGCCTCACCAAGAAGAAGCGGAAGGGTGCTTCAGGTGAAGGTGCGGCTGTGGGCCCCGTGGCAGGCGCTACACAGGACTCGACCTCAGCCAGCCAGGATCCCAAGGCGAAGGACAGGGACAAGTCGGTCGGTTTCGCGGACTCTGCACCGCCCTCTGCTCGGTCCGCGGGAACCCCAGCAACCCCTTCATCGACTCCAGCGGCTACCAGCATTCGTGAGCGTGCTGCGGCCCAGATCAAGGCTGCTTCAGTGCGTGGCCCCCCTGCTGCCGCTGCTGACAAAGCCAGTGCGTAGCAGGGGGGGACACAGTGAGCTCAATTTTGTCCAGTGCGGAGGTCGCACAGCGTGGAGTGTGCGTGCGCGCACCCACAGGCATGGTCTTTCGCACAGTATCCTGGCTAACGCCAATGCCCGCCTGACCAACTCCTCGTCGCAGGCTTTGGCCGCCCGAGCGAGAGCTAGGGTCAGGAGGGCGAGTTTTGATCCTATGTCTCACCAGCATCTTGTGGCCCCGTCCTGTCGCCCGCGTGGGGGCCCTGGCCAGATGCTCACGCCTAGGCCCCTGGAGTCCTCGGCCCAGGCTACCTGTAGTTTCCGTGAGATGGGGTGGGCTGGTGCCGCCCCCGTCCACAAGTTTTGCACCCCACCCCCACCCCCTGGGAGAGCTCAATTTTCCCTCAAAGTAGAGACGCTTAATTGCACTGCCTGGTCATCGCTGCAGCGATGGCTCCCGCACTGCACGTCGCACATCATCCTGCTCCAGGAGCACCACCTGCGCCTCGGCGATGAAGCTGACCGAGCATCGTCCTGGGCCAAGGTTCACGGGTGGCAAATTCTCCTCACTCCCGCCCTCTCCACCCCGTCGGGGGGGACGTCGGCTGGAGTAGGCATCATGGTCAGAGATTTCCTGGGCCTTCGGCCCCCGCCAGGTGGTCACGTTTTGGTCCCTCATAGGGTCGTAGGTGCCATCGTCAATATCCCAGACGGCGACGCGCTGTACGTCGTCAGTGCGTACCTCCATCACTCCCAGGGGCTCAGCGACCTCAACCTGGGGCTCCTCTCGCATGTGGCTGCTGCATTGGAGGTTTGGGCTGGACCTTATATTCTGGGAGCTGATTTTAACATGGAACCGTCGGTGATTCAGGAGTCTGAGTTTGCAAAGTCCTGCGGGGGACGTGTGGTGATTCCTGAGGCTGCTTCTGGAACCTGCCTTTCTACTGGAGGGACCCGCCTTCTGGATTTCTTCGTGGTCTCTTTGGGTCTTTCTAAAGGTCTGGCGAATGTCCAGGTTGAGCTTGGCGCGTGCACATCACCACACTCACCTGTGTCATTGGAATTCTATCCGCAGCTGGCGCAGCTCTACGGATTGAGGTTCCGCCGACCCCCACCTATCCCTGTGGATCCTATAGTTGGGCCTCAGCCTCAGCCTCCTAACTGGGACTCTGCGAGGGCCCTTGGGCAGCAGCTATTGGATGTGCTGCACTCTGGGCACACTCAGACTGTCCAGAATATGTTGGATGTTGTGTACTCGGCTTGGGCTAATCTTTCTGAGCGCGAGTTGGCTGACTCGAGAGGTGTCCAGCTGCCATGCTTAGGAGCACGATCCAAGGCGCCGCAGATGTACTGGGCGCTGGTTTTGGAGCAGGACAGGAAGCCCCCAGTGCGACAGCCCCTGTGCTATGCAATCAAGTGGTTGAGTTTGAAGTTCAGAATGTACGTTTCGCTACTCGACGCTCCTGGCCCCGACGCGGTCAGGCAGGCCAGGGAGCTACGTCGAGTTGCGTCGAATCCACCTGTCTTTTTGCATGCAGGATTGGCTCATCATCAGCGGTGGTATAATGAAGTTTGCGCTGCAGTACAGAGTTCTCAAGACTCC